TAATGAGACTGAACAGTATATGACAAGTGTCAGAAGTAGAATAACTGTACCCAGAATCTCTTTGGTCTTTAGTTAAGGTGTCACTTGAGAAAAACCCAGCCATGTTTTTATAACTCCCTGAAATTACAGGCAATAATTAATGTGCATCTCTGGGAAGAAGGTTCATAACTTTAATCCATAGGGAATTACATTAAAAAACAGATCACAAGCCTCTGAACTACAATATGTGAGAGTTTAAAAAAAAAAAGAGTGGTGGCTAAAATATTTTTTTACCCTTTTAAACTTTTATTCCACAGTATGACTTTTATCATGAAAATTCAAAACTAAAAAATTGTTCACTTTTATTATGGCTTATTACACATATTTTCTCCCTGTTCTTTAAAGTCAAGAAAAGTATTACAAAAACAATCCTGCCAATTTAAAGAGTCGATAACAATGTTAATATTCTACCACACTTCTAACATGGACCCATTTATAATAATATTAAAGAAAACTTTAAAATGAAAATAATCACATATTTAAAAATTATAAAGCCGCTAAAAGTAGAATGATTCAGTTTCTCAACTTCCTAGCCTAGGAATGCCAGCCTTTTTATTATTTTTAATTTTTTTATTGTATTTTTTCCCATTACTGTTTAGTCCCCTTATATCCCGTCCCCGCCCCCCGCAATCACCACCCTGTTGTCCACGTCCATGAGTCCTTTTTCCTTTTTGCTCAATCCCTCCACCCCCTAATCCTCCTCTCTACGAGTCTGTTTCTATTTTGCTTGTTAGTTCAGGTTGTTCATTATATTCTAAATATGAGTGAAATCATATGGTACTTGTCATTCTCTAACTGGTTTATTTCACTTAGCATGTTCTTCAGGTCCATCCATACTGTCACAAAGGGTAAAATTTTCTTCTTTTTTACAGCTGAGTAGAATTCCAATGTGCTAATGTTCCATAGTTGTTTTATCCACTCATCTACTGATGGCCACTTGGGCTGCTTTCCATATCTTGGTGATCGTAAATAATGCTGCAGTGAACATAGGGGTGCTGGTGTTCTTTCAAATTGATGTTTTGGGTTCCTTTGGATATATTCCCAGAAGTTGGATTGCTGGGTCAAAAAGCAGATCCATTTTTAATTTTTTGAGGTACCTCTATACTGTTTTCCACAGTGGCTGCACCACTCTGCATTCCCACAAACAGTGCAAAAGGGTTCCTTTTTCTCCACATCCTCGCCAGTAATTGTTGTTGATTTATTGATGATAACCATTCTGATAGGTGTGAGATGATCTTATTGAGGCTTAAATATACATTTCTCTGATGATTAGTGATGTTGAGCATCTTTTCATGCCTATTGGCCATCTGTATATTCCCATCGAAGAAGTGTCTATTCAGGTCCTTTGACCATTTTTTAATTGGGTGGGTGGGTGGGTGGGTGGGTGGGTGTGTGTGTGGGTGTGTGTGTGTTGAGTTCTGTAAGTTCTTTATGAATTTTGGCTATTAACCCCTTATCAGATGTATTGGCAAATATGTTCTCCCATTGTGCGGATTGTCTTTTTTAGTTCATTGATGTAAAAAACTTTTAAGTTTAATGAAATCCCATTTGTTTATTTTTTTTTTCCTTTTGTTTCCCTTACCTGGGGAGACATAGCCGATAAAATATTGCTATGAGCAATGTCCAAGATTTTGCTGCCTGTTTTTTTCTAGGATTTTTTGGTTTCAGGTCTTACATTTAAGTCTTTAATCCATTTTGTATTTATTCTTGTGTGTGGTGTAATAAGGTGGTCTAGTTTCATTTTTCTGCACATATCTGTCCAATTTTCCCAATCCCATTTATTGAATAAACTATCTTTAGCCCATTGTATGTGCTTGCTTCCTCTGTCAAACATTGACTATAAAAGTGTGGGTTTATTTCTGGGTTCTCTATTCTATTCAACCGATCTTGCCTTCTTTTTTAAAATAAATGTTTTCTAGTTATGAAAGTTTGTCTGTTCATTTTATATTTGAAATGTAGACCACACACACACACACACACACACACATACGAGTCTAAAGAAAGATATTACTCATAAACTCAGCACCTAAAGATAAGAACTGTTAATATTTGAATATACATACATGTAGAAGTAATTTTTCTTCTACGTTTAAAGACAGCTTTTACAAATGGGATAGTACTATACATTGCTTTATAATCTGCTTTTTTACTTACTATATCAAACATTATTTTCATACATAAAGAGAATAGCTTATCCACTTAACATTTTCTAAAAACATACTCCAATCACAATTTTGAGCATAATTTCTTAAATCCATTTTCCTATAATTATGTGACAATTCTCACTGTACAGATACTTTCTGGTAAAATATATATTATTGGTATAATTGTTGCTTTTCTAATAAGTTACCTTATATTCATACTGTTCAGACAATTTAAGGAGCCTGCTTAAATTTTAGCAGTATTTTCAACACCATCATACATTCTGATTTTAATTGCTAAGCTTAAAAACAGCTGAATGTTATTATCTACCTTCTAGTTTGGTATTCATTCCAAATGCTCCTTAAACATCCTTCTAAGAAATCAATCACTGTTTAAGGGACGTATCTTGGGAAATACAGATTATAAAGTTTGAAATACTATAAATTATGCTAATTGCATTTTTCTCAGATTAAAAACATGAGGATTTACTATACTTTTCTTTTAATGAGAGTTTACAATGTGGACTAAAGGGATTGTACAGAAAGTAAACTCACAGAATGGTATGTCCATAGAGGCCTAAATGTGCACGTCACACCCCAGACACATAACTTCTTTAGTAAAAGGTTTATCTTTGCCTTAAGCCCTGCCCATTGATTCTGTGCATCTAGGTTAACACACCTTTGAAATGCCTCCCATCAGACCAGTCAGGAGAGAAAACACTCTCAAGAGGGCACATAAACCTTTAACTATCCCAGGTAATCCAATCCCCACCTTGCTTTCTTCTCCCGCATTTCTGTACTCTTCCTTTTGTTCCCTCCTTTATTCCAAATGCATAAAAGAAGGTGTAAATGGTCATCCTGAGAAGCATTTTTCTCAGTCTGTTGAGATCTTGCTTCCAGGCATGATATATCCTCTGCTTGGCTTAAATAAATTTTTGTTAAAATTCTCTATAGCCCAGATGGTGTGGTTCAGTTGGCTGAAGCATTGTCCCATAAAATGAAAGGTTGTGGGTTTGATTCCCAGTCAGGCCACATATCTCGGTTGCAGGTTCAGTCCCTGGCTCGGGCGTGTGTGGGAGGCAACCAATCAGTTTCCCCCACATATGTATCTATCCCTCTCTCTCTCTGCCCCCAACCCCCAGAATCAATAAATATATATTTTTTTAAATTCTCTACATCCCTTGTTGGTAAGGCTCAGGGATTAAGCACAGGCCTTTGAACCAAAAGGCCTCCAGTTCCATTCCCAGTCAGGGCACATGCCTGGGTTGCAGGCCAGGTCCCTAATTGGGGGCGTGCAAGAGGCAACTGATCAATGTATCTCTCACACATCCATGTTTCTCTCTCTCTTTATCCTTCCCTTCCCCTCTCTCTAAAAATAAATAAAAATAAAATCTTAAAAAAAAGAAATCCTCCACAAGTTTGGACATTCTTACGTCAATAGCAAGTAGAGTAGAAAAGAGTGCATTGCATACTTAGTCTGGGTCTTAACAGCTGGGTCTTTACATTGGACACATACTCGTTACACTTAGTATTCATCTAACACATCTGCCACACCCCACAAAGGAACTTGGTTCTTCATTTATCTTTTCCCATAATATCTTGTGGTAGATGCCAAACCCATGTGTAGCTAGATAGATATAGAAGGTCAGAACAAACTCTATGACACAAAAAGATTAAGTGGCATGTTCTGCCCCCAAATTTGTCATTGTAAGCACTTTAAACCATTGCAAAAAAAAAAAAAAAAATACTTGAAAGAGAGTGCCGCTGTCAGATAAAATGCAAAACATCTCAAACGGTACTTTTCTCCCTGAAGTTCCCCAGCCCTACATTTCAATTGCCTCTTTTCCAATTATCACTTTTATCACAGGCTCTGAGGGTAGAAATCCTGGGAGTTACCTTTGTTTCTTCTCAACTTTCTCTCCTCTCTGCTTTAGCAAAACATCTTCCAGGCACCTCCTAGCCCCCCATTTCTGTCTTTGCCATATTACCCAGACTTTTTTATCACTTACCCCTGAACTGTTGCAGCAGCCTCTTACATGGGTTCTCCTCTAATCAAATATAGCATCATTATTCTTCCAGGCTGAATTCCCCAAAATCTATTTTAGCATGGCATTCTTCAACTCTAATATCAAAATGATTCCCTATTATTCTCTAAGACAAGGTCAGGTCCCCCTCCTACTTTTCAAAGCTCCTCTTAACATGGCCTGGAGCTACTTTTGCAACCTGATTTGTTGCACTCCCTCCAAGGTGAGACTCCGTACTGACCTGAACACTTCCCAAAGGAAACCATCCTTCCTTGTCTATACCCTTCCCATGTCCCAGGGCCAAGTTCAAGTGTAATCTTCTCTAGGAATCTTTCTCATCTATTCCAGCCCACTCATATCTTTCCCTTCTCTGAACACCCATTGAAACATCTGCAGTGGATTTGAATTTTACTCCACAATTCTAGGGAGAAAAATGTGGTATTGAACCTGACTTTAAGTTCCCTGCGCAGCAGGTTTGAATCTTGGTTATGCTTGAGAAGTCTCTCTCCCGGGCTCAGGGTCTGGAGAGCTGATGTTAGGCTGTTTACACAGACTCTGCCCTGAAGCTCTATGTCCAAGTCCGTGTGCCAAGCCGAGGGCACAGGGAGTCTTTCACCTCAGATTGCAAGGCCACTGCTCTGACAGCTCTAACATCTCCAAGCGACTCTATGAGGCATCCTGTCATCTCTCAAGGGAAGTTACCTGGGAATGGACCCTAGTCCCTGGCAATAGTGGGACCTGTCAAAAATCATCTATCCCATGGCTTTCTCTTTGGGGAAGTTCTTCCCAACCTTACCACTTCTCCTAGCCACCATCACTCTCTAAACCCTCCCAATCGTAGACAGGTCAGCTTGCAGCAGAATTCCACTTTGTTTAAATCTGCATTACAGCACATATCACAGTTCTAAAGAGGCAGTAACACTTATGTTTAAGGGCAAAAGCCTGGGGAACAAACAGGACTAAAATATTATCCTTGCACCTCCCGCCCACCATTGAGTGACCTCAGTGAGGTATTTAACTCCCCAAAGCCTCAGTCCACTTATCTAGAAAACTTCATAGGAATGGCATGAGGATTAAATCAGGCCCTAACAGTAGTAGTCCTAGTAGCAATGACGAACACATAGCATTGTGTGCCAAGCTCTATTCTAAGTATTTTACATACATTAACTCATTTAATCCTCACAACATTTTATGGATAAGTAAACAGGCATAGGAGGAGTAAGTAACTACTAGTCCAAAACCACACAGGTAATAAACAGCAGAGACAGGAATTAAACCCAAGCAGTTTGGCTCAGACTCTATGCTCTAGAACATGACACCATATGTTTCTAATGAGCGTTACATAAATGGTAGCTATTACTGCCATTAACAGAATTACTTGATTTTTTAATGTATCTGCATCTTTAAGTAAATTGTAAGCTCCTTGAGAACAAACATGCTGACAACGTAACAGTTGTTAGAGAGCTAGTCTCCAGAGACTCACAGCATAGTTAGAAGCCTGCCTCTGTCACTCACTAGCTAGCTCCAAAACTTGGAGCAAATTGTTTATTCTTTTAGAATGGCTGTAAGTATTAAATGATTTCCTGCTTAACAAGTACTTAGTGAACTGCAGCTATGCCAGCGATAAGATGATATATTTCACTACTTGATAAGAGATGGCAATATCACCATCAGTCTTTCCAGGATCTAGAAGAGTGCCAAAATTCTTAACAAATACTTGCTAATCGGCAACTCATCCACATTGTTTTTCTTGTTTCATGTAGGTTCATCTTGTTTCTAAAATTACTCCTTAAAGAAAAGGTTACCCTTCAAAATAACAGTAGTGATGTCAGCTAACTTCTCCTGAAGACTTACAATGCATCAAGGACTGTTCTATGATTTTTTTTCAGATGTTTAATCATTTAAAACTCACAACAGCGCAAAGGGTGTGTGTTCTGCCTTCTCTCAAGGCTGTAGCCAACACTGTTTTCTTAGGGTATGTAAATAAAGCCCTGTGTTTTCATTTCTTGTCTAGCTTTTTTTTTTATAGCTTAGAGAAGTCTGTTTGTGGGTGGGGAAGGGGAGAAAGGATTGCTGGTGTCCACAGTAAATGTACAAGTTCCTCTTTGAAGAGAGAGAGCAGCCTAGCGAGGGGTAGATATTATATCATCATCTTCAGTTTTATGTGTGAGGAAACCAAAGCACAGAAAGGTTAAGTAATTCACCCAATGTCACATTATCACACAGCTGTACGTGGCAGTCTAGGTACTTAATGACTTGTACTTTTGTTGTCTCTTTTATAACATTTTTCATATTCCCCAGGATATTTGGTAGAATTCCATACATATGAAAAAACCAGAAGCATTTGTTGTTTGAAGTAATATTAATAATATAAAGTACATTTAAATGTTTGAAATATCTAAAAAGTTATATAAAACTTAAAAGCCAAAGTTTCTCTTTAAAATCTAATACACTTAGTGTTTAAAAATGAGCACATCAGTTAAGCTGAATCATGAAGATGAGGGCCGAGTTTTCCAGCTGTGAATGACTCAAAGGACTCGGACATAATTCACATACTGAACATCCTGTTCTGATGGACACATAGCACAGAAATGAAGCCTCTAAAAGAAGACATAGTCCAGAGCTCTGTTGCAAAATCTAACCCCAAAATAAAGACTATCAATACTTTAGCAGTTAAACTTTCTTTCAACTCTGTTTCTCATTTTCAAAACACTTTGCAGAAACATTTCAGTCCCCCTTCTACATAGTTCTCTCCACAAAGGGCAACAGTTAAAATTCAAAAACATTCTCCAGGATAAACCACAGAGACTTCTCTAAGTAAAATTAAAGCAGAGCCTCATCCATTTAATAATTATTTCTCTGCAATTAAAAGGCCTCATAGAAAAGCGAACCAGTTGAACTAGTCTGGTCCTTAAGCCAGTTCACTGGAAGAGTGAATTTTCATAGCCTTGGGAAAACCTAGGTTTATAGGACAAACTGCAGGGTTGAGCTCATTTTGGAGATATGTTCCCTTTCATTGGTGAAAGAGAAAAGGAAGTGAGCCGTGCCCCCCCCCCCAAAAAAAAGAAAGAAAAAAGAAAATACCACTAGAGACATCCCAGCCAATACTTGATAAGGACTAGGAAAGTTTCCATCAACTCAGGGCTAGAAGGAAATTTTGGATCAGAAAGCAGCTGACCAAAACAAACCATCTTAGGTATGGGAGAGATTTCTCATTAAACTACAGATTTTCAATAAGGGAGTCATTTAACCCATGGCTCTCAAATGTTTTTTTGCTATGACACAGAGTGAGAAATATATAGATTATATCATGACCCATAAGTATATACTTATAAGTAAATATACATATTCATACACACATATATAAATAAAAGTGAAACACACACATATGCATACAAACAATGTTATCTAAATAATACCCATCCTTACTAGGCACAAAGCACTGTGAAAGCATCAATTGTGTTCTACTTTGCGTCCTAAACACACTGGCTGAGACCCACTGGTTGAAAAACAGTGATTTAAACCAGGATAGGAGATTCTGAGAATATTCTTTTTTATAAAGGCCTCTATTCCTCCCTCAGAGTCCCACAGCCAACTTTAGGACAGCTGCAATGCAGCATCTGCTCTTGGGACAAGTGACTTGTTGAGTGCTTGGATAAAGGCCACGTGGAAGGCTGTCTTCCTCCATGTCCGCCATTCCTCACTGCGTTGGCTCCTTTTCTTTCTACACCATAAATGCTGGGGTTCCCCCACAGCTCTGTTTTTCATCATTTTCTCCTACTATTATGAGTAATTGGATCTATTTCCATGGCTTCAAATTGCAGTCATGTGCCACTTACCGTTTTGGTCAACAATGGGCCACGTATATGACAGTGATCCCATAGATTATAATGGAGCTGAAAAATTCCTGTCACTAGTGGCATTGTTGTAGCACAACGCATTACACAAATACTTACCACTGTGTTATTAAAACCATTTCAATTAAGCAATAAAGGGTGTGTGTTCTGCCTTCTATCAAGGCTATAGCCAACACTGTTTTCTTAGGGTATGTAAATAAAGCCCTGTGTTTTCATTTCTTGTCTAGCTTTTTTTTTATAGCTTAGAGAAGTTTGTTTGGGGGTGGGGAAGGGGAGAAAGGATTGCTGGTGTCCACAGTAAATGTACAAGTTCCTCTTTGAAGAGAGAGAGCAGCCTAGCGAGGGGAGAAAGCTCAAAAAGGCAGATTCGCACTCCCCCAGCCCTTTCCCTCCCTGGTGCTCTCCTTTCTTAGGAGAGGTGGCACTTCCCATTCCTCTCCCCACACTCTTGGTGCTGCTTTTCCTCTCCATCCTTATAAAAGCCTCTGCCTGCATTGATATTATTAAGATGGGTTTTTGCGGAAAAAAGCACACCCATTTTCTTGAATTGCCAGCAAAACACTTCCTTCTCCCCAGTGCCTGTCTTGCAAATTCAGTCTTCGGAACTGGGTGAGGGTCTTTTCACAGATACAGTACAGCCGCTTACAGTATTCACTACAGTAACATGCAGTACAGGTTTGTAGCCTAGCAGCTATAGGGGAACAGAAGTTGCCACCCCAAAATATCTGTTTGGCATAAGGATTATTTTAGGCCAGTTAATTTTAAGAAACAGCAGACATGGGAGAAGCTCTGCAAAGCAAGTAGAAGTTACTCTTTGCAGAAGAAATTTACATTTATAAGAAAAATCTCCATTTGTAAGGGTGTCTTTCAAGGTGTACCACAAGAGGGGGATAAATTCGCACCTCACCTTTGCTCGCTGTGCTTTTCCTGGTAACTTCCCATAACTGATCTCCCCACCCCCAGCATCTTCTTTTGTCTTCAGCTGAAGATGGTAATTAAGGTGGTGACTTCAGCCACTGCGATGAGTTACTCAGTTTTCCTGGGTCTCGGTATACAGGATGTATACATGTTATTAAACTTTTGCTTGTTTTTTCTCCTGTGAATCTTTCATTACAGGATGTCTCATCCAACAACTCAAAAAGGTAGAGGAAAATTTATTTTTCCTCCCCTAAAGAGCAATAGGCTACAACATATAACTTAGGTGTGTAGCAGACTATACCATCTAGGTCTGTACAAGTGCACTCTGATGTTTGCACAAGTGCAAAGTCACCTAATGACACATTTTGCAAAATGTATCACTGTCATTAAGCAGGACGAGATGTGCACAAATGGCTCCAGCACACCACTGTCTATTCTTCTGAACTACTTCTTATCTTCATGCTTTAATTCAGGATTTCATCTTCTTTCTCAACTAATACAACTGAATCTATGGATTTCCAAACCACTCTCTTATAACCTACCCCTCCACTGGAACAGTCTCCAAAATATCTTTCTAAAATCAAGTTTCATGATGCCACTCCCCTACCTAAAGCCCTTCATTAGTTTTCCACTGCCCACTCTTTTTCTTCATAATAAGGCCCTTGATAATTTGGTCTCTACTGATACTTGAGCTTCATTTCTTGCCACACAACCACCTATAACCTGTATTCGAATCACACTGACATATGTCATCATATTCCCAGATATATAGCATTGCTCCACATCTTTACACATTTGCTTAATCTGTTCCTACTCCCTAGGACAACCTTCCCTGATCTGTTCATTGAACAATCCTCTTTTAAGATTTAGCTCAAATCCCTTTTTGAGAAAGTGTTTCCTGAACTCCTAAGGTAGATTTGATGTCTGCCACTTTCATACTTCTAGTATGTTTTAGCACCTCTAACAGCCTTCGTTGGCTTTATTTCTTTTCATATCCATCCTCCCCACTAGTCATGAACATCCTAAAGGCAAGAACTGGATC